TTTTGTAGAGAAGCAAAGTGTGTGTTGTAAATGCAAGAAGGGGACTGGTACCAATGGGCAAAGAGAAACTAAAAGAGATAAAGGGGACTGACAGCCAGTGGTTTGGGAGTTGTAAAAGGACAGTCTCAAATCAGTCTTTCTGATTGTGCTGGCACAAACTTTCACTCTGGATCATAGTAGTGGGTGGAGGAGGTGGAAAAGACAGATTAGCATACCGTTTAAAGTGGCTGGGACCTGTGCTCACAACTTGAGTCTGTTAAACACTGAAATACCCCTCTTTCTTGGTATGGGGAGCCTGCAAATGGTAACCATGTGATGTTCCCACACTGGTGCTTTTCCAGGCATTGAAGGAAGCATTGAAAGCTTAATCAAGGGCTTACAGGAGTTAACTAGGATGTGAGCACAAGTGTGATCTAATGCAGGGGTTTTCACAACCATTTTTTTTGGTGACCTCAGTGTAGCCACCAACTCTTGCTGCTGGCCGTTCTGACAAATTGTGCTAAGATACTTAATTTTAGGAAAAACAAATTAAATGTGTGTCCAAATCATGGTAATTTATGTAGAGTTTGTTTTTGTTTTGCAGACTCAATAACAAAAATAACACCCTATATATGTAAAAACATATGTATGATATTCTTTATTTGCCCCAACTACCTCCCACAACCCATCCCCCCTAGGGCACTGCTGCCTTCCTCCCTCCATTTTCCCCATCTCCCTTCCACAGTCTCACACCCCAGGCCCATCCTAGTCCTTGCCTCTTGACCATGGCACACTGTGCTGTCAGCTGCTGAAGCCCTGCCAGAGCCCCGGGGGCTGAAGCCCGGAGTCCCGCCACCAGAAGCCCGGAGTGGGAGCGCTGGGGGGCGGAAGCCCAGAGCCCTGGAGGCAGGAACCCTGGGAGTGGGAGCTCAGGTGCGAATCCCACCACTGGAGCATGGGGGCTGAAGCCTGAGCCCCCACCACTCCCAGGAAGGTGGGTCAGGGAACTCACCAGCCACCTGTGGAATCCAAGGTTCCTCCCGCATCCTGCACACCATCCCCAAACATCTGCAGAGGCACTGCCTGGACCCCTAAGGAGGCTGCGCAGTGCAGGGCACCAATCCGCAGCTGGCGGTGCCAGCAAACACCAAGGCAGCACCTCCAGGACAACAGCTGAACATTGGAAGGAGGGGCTGCTGCTTTGCCTTTTCCCCCATTCTCCACACAGGAGGCTGTCGTGGCCACAGAAAAATTCCCAGGTAGCCGCATGTGACCACATTTGAGAAATCGTAGAATATCAGGGTTGGAAGGGACCTCAGGAGGTCATCTAGTCCAACCCCTTGCTCAAAGCAGGGCCAATCCCTAATTTTTGCCCCAGATCCCTAAATGGCCCCTCAATGATTGAACTCACAACCCTGGGTTTAGTAGCTCAATGTTCAAACCACTGAGCAGAAATGCTGATCTGATCTTGAATTGCTGGATGTGGAGTCATGAAAAATATTCCTGTCCTCCAGGAAGCATTATGTGACTGGAAAGTGGTACTTCTCGCTCCCGCTTGCAGATAAAAGGCCCTATAGGAAACTTGCTCAGTTGAAAGTGGCCTAGGTGGGATTTAGCTCTGGATATGACCAGTGTGTCCTCACTAATGACTGATGTTATATCCAAAGATTATGGTGGTGGTGTAATTTGTCCTAACCCACCCTGGGCTGACCCCTCTCAGGCATATTCCACGTGTAGGAAAATCCAACATATCTTGCTTATATAACCTGTTAAAATAAGTTAGTTAGAAAGAGACAGAATTGGAAGAACAATTGTTCTGATTCCTTCCAAAGAGAATATGCTGTGCTTTGCATTATTTTTAATGAGGCTTTTCACTCCTCAGCCCCACAATCTGCATTTTATAACGTTGTTGTTTTACATATATAGGGAGATATTCAAATCTATTCATTTCCTTTAGGCTCATAAAGAAGGAGACAACATTTTGATAAAATGTAGATAAAATGCATTCCTGGGTAAATAGTTCCTCTTTTCTTAGGCAGTGCAAAGTTTTTTCTTAACATAGGAATTTTTAACAGGGATTTATTCTACAATAAATTATCCAAATTCTATTGGACAAGTAGTGTTGTAGGTTACTTTGGGTTTATGCTGGAATAACCCAGAAGAGAATTTGACTCTAGGGATCAAATCTACACTTAAATATGCAGGAGTATCACCCTTTGAACCTATCCTGCTCTTGATTTCTCCCCACCTCCCCCTCGTCGCCCTGTTGACTTTACTGTTTTCAGTTTATTCAGTACAAGTAGGATTCCATACAGGCCTAGGAGCCTATACTTTCAGGTCCTAATGCGGAATTAGGGGTCTTGGATCATAAACTCCTTAAGACGGAAAATAAGGTCAATTTGTTAATAAAACACGAGGCAAACCTGTAGTGTTATATAATGATACTGGGAGGGGAAAAAACTACAGGAATCAAGTCTTGTACAGGACAAGGGGCAGATCAATAGCAGCATGTGAACAGAAGGTTCAAAAGTCGGAGACCTTCAGAGGGTAAGCACTAAACAGTAGTTACATTGAACAGTGACAGGAGAAGTTTTATTTTATATATTTTATTTTAGTACGCATAGTTACAGGGCTTTACTGAGTCACATTTCAGACTAGCCAGACTAACAGTTAGCATTGTTTCTGGATCTATCCTAGTTCCCTCAGCATTCCTGATTATCTTATGTTGTCCTTCATTCTCACTGCAAATGGCTTATTGTTGCTCTGAGATAAACCGATCCCTTTTAATACTTTATTGTCCTGATTTCTCCCCTCCCTTCTTTGTACACAACCCATAAGATTGGGTTCCATATTTCTTTAAACTTTTCTAAATCTTTCCTCTACCTTCCTTGTCAGCAAGGTGAACCACGTCCTTGTCCTATTCAACTCCTTTCTCTATTCTGAGTGCACCTTTGAGCGCTTGACAAACTGTTGCTGCTTTCTGGGCAACCACTCCATACCACTGCAACCATTTTTGCCATGTCCTTCTCTGTAATCTGTAACCACCACCTTCTCTATCCAATTTTATTTTTTTGTGCTAAAGTAATCTTCCCCATCTGCTTTTCTGACCATGTCACTCTGACACACTTCACAAGCTTCCTCTCACCATCCATGTCATTTTCAAGCTCCTTGTCCTTGACTAAGCTATGCAGAAGTTCATTTTGTTTCTTATTAGTAAGGATACAATATTGTCACAGAGGTCACAGGACACCGTGACTTCTTTAGCTTCAGCCCTGCTGCAATGGCGGGACTGGAGCAACTGTCTGCCCCCGCTGCAGGAGCAGCAATCAGGGTTGGGTCAGCGGCCAGCAGTCAGCCCCTAGGGCTGGAGCAGTGGCTGTGGCCAGACTGGGGCAGAAGCAGTGGCCAGGGCTGGTGCTGGAACAGGAGCTGGCAGGAGTGCTGGAACAGTTTTTTATAATGGGGGTGCTGAGAGCCATAGAACCAAACTGTAAATCCTGTAAGTGAGAGAAACCACTTCAAGCCAGGGGGTGCAGTAGCACCCCTAGTTCCAGCACCTATGCGGGCTGGGTTAGCCACCAGGGCCAGAGCAGCTGCCAGAGCTGGAGCAGCCTAACCCTAACTCCCCCTCCCAGTACGACACACCCATCCAGTGGCCCCCCTCCTCCAAACTGTACCTCCCCAGTTCCCTCCTCTCCCCTCCCCCAGGAGTGTCCTCTATTTGGGGATCTCTGTATGGTAATCCTAGGGGAACAAGGTGGAAAAACAAGAATCAATTAAAAGACCGAAGGGGCAGAGTTTTCCCCCCAAGATGTGCCCAGCTGGCACATGTGACACAGCCAGATGGAGGCACCCAACAAACTACTTTCAGTGGGCTGGGTACATAAGAAAAAAATATCAAAACAAGTTTTGCTTTTAAAACTAACTGATTTATTAAAGAAAAGCAGTAGTATCTGCTGTTAGTGAATTGAACAAATTGTTTCTGTGGTCATCACGCCCTTCAAGTTTTTAGTAGATCTTATCCTCTCACACCTAGGGCAGGCCTTCACTACCTGCTGGATCGGTGGGTAGTGATCGCTCTATCGGGGATCGATTTATTGTGTCTCGTCTAGACACGAAGTTGCGTATTTTAGGTCGACCCCCCCCCCCCCAGCCCCCGTGTAGACCAGGGCCTAGTTCTTATGCATAGATTGTAAGAAGAAAACAAGCATCCCTGCATTTTCAATTCCAGATTAGTTTCTTAGCTTTGAATGAAGTAGTTATTGAACTGAACTAGTTGAATAAACTGAAAGAGAGAATTCTCTCTGCACCTACAAGAGGCTACTGGTGTCAAAATCTGGTTTAGCAGTTCAACAAATGCTGGTTGCAGGTGCTTAGCCAGTGACTTTAATCAGCTCAGTGATTTGATAGGAAACTTACTACTTAATTTTTAAATTTTAATTTAAATGATTTTAATAGATTATAGTAAATTTAGGTCTTAACATAGGTTGTCATAATTTAAAATTAAATTTTAAATAGGTTTATTTTTAAAAATAAAACTAATTTAATTTAAATCAGATATTTAAATAAAAAAATCAATTTTTGAAAATTCATTGTTCTTGTTTTTTATCCACCCTGCTTAAGGCATTAGCCTAGGACTTGGGGAACCTGATTCTGCCAGACTTCCTTCTGCCACAGAAGTCACTTAGCCTCTCTGAGCCACAATTCCCCATCTGTTTTAAAAACAAAACAGGGATAATAGCACTTCCCTAGCACACAGGGGTGTTGTGAGGATAAATCTATTAAAGAACCTGAGCACCTCACAGTCTATGCTAATGGAGGCCATTATATATATAACTAAGATAGATTTCTTGCTAGGCTTCCCTTGTTCTCTATGCTTCTGCCAAGCTTCCTTTCTAGTCTCATCTGTTTCCTTCTCCCACTCTCACCTTCCTTGCTGTTCTTTAGGTGTGGTTGCTTTCATAAGCCACCCTGGTTAAAGATCAACATATTTGATCTGAATTTTGTGTGTTCCTTTCCAGGGCATGTAAATACTCCCATGATATCTTCACGGATGAAAACCGAAAAGTGCTGAAGACCCATGAAGTCAGTGGCCTCAACGAGAATGAGCTGCGGGTCCTGCTCCTCCAGAATGACCCTTTCCTCCTGCCTGATGTGAGTCATACTGATTTCTTAAGGAAAGGCTCTTTGCTGAATAGGGATGGAAGAGGTGAGATATGATGTTGAAGCTGAAGCATGGAATTGGATGTCAGGGAACCTAGATTTTTTTTCCTTTGCAACTGATTCACTGTATGACTAAATCATCTACTCTCTGACTTAGTTTCTATGGCTATGTAAATTGGAGATAAAATACCTAGCGTGAAGGGCTGTTGGGAGGCCTTGTCTACATTACTAGTGCATTGCCAGGATAGCTGTACCAGCGTGTAGACTGGCTGTATGCCAACAGGAGTTTGTCAGCATAGTAACACAACTTCTCTGAATGACCTTAACTAGGCTGACAGAAGCCCTCTTCTGTTGGCATAGCTGTGCCTGTGGTGGGGGTTTGGCAGCCTAGTTATGTTGGCTGGCGGGGGGGGGGGGAGAGCGTGTCTTTTCACACCCCGACTAACACAGCTGTGCCAACGAAACTTTGTAGTATAGACCCAGGCTTACTGATGTTTTGTAAAATACTGTTTTGCTGGAGGGTGTTTGGTGGCTACGAGCAGGCATGTCTTTGAACTATAGGTGAGCACTGAGGCGGCTGGGCACATTAGCTACCCTTCATTCAAGGTAAATGGAAGAAGCAATTAAACTCCTTTTATGGAGTAAGAGAGCTAGGGACAGTGGATGCCACCATTCAAGGGACTCAGCTACATGCAAGGCTGCTCAGAAGCTGAGCTCTGTGGATGGTAGGGTTTCCCTTGGGAGCTGATTGCAAACACAGGGCCTATGTATGTCTGAAGCAGACAAGACAAGAAAAAGGTAGGAGACAGCCAAGGAAGCACTGGTAGGTGGCCCTGGGAGGAAGCCAGAGAGCGTCTTTTGGGCAGCCTGCTGGCTAGAAAGCGGCTTGGAATTGTGAGTAAGGAAACTGCCTGCTGTTTGTTCCTGCTGTGTTCAGAGAAACAGGATGTTGGGCACATTCTGTGTAAATAAACAGGGTTGCACCCTATAAGACTCATCTGACTCCCATCATCAATTTCTCCTCCTAACGGAAACAATCTGCAAGCTCCAAATATTGACTAACTGTTTGGGACAAAAAGGCCAACAATACTTTGAAATCCAAAGATGGTTCTGTAAAAATATTAAGTATTATTGCTTTCTGAAAGCTTACAGTAGGTTTGAATTAGAGGGGAAAGGTGGTGGTGGGGCAGGGAGTTTGCTTACATCTTATTCAGTATTGAAGTTATGCAAGGAAATGACAGAAAAGTGTCTATTTTTAAAATTATTGTGCCCCTCCTAGAATAGAAAGGGTCCATTTTAGGGCTGTCCAACACCCTAACAACAACAACAAAAGCCCAAGCATTTCCACCTCTTTAGTCCAAATTTTACAGTTAGCATTCAACCCATACAAACCAGATCATGAACACTTTTCCTGTGTAGCAGTCTCCATAAATTCAGTCATCTTGCAAAACGAAAAGGGGTTGTGCTGAAGATGCAATGGACAGTGAATATGCACTCACCAGAGTTAGAAACATATTTGAATTTTTTTAGCTCCTTGGAAAGAATATCAATATTTGCATACAAATATCTTACTCTTGGGGGAATTCTGCACCACTTGCACAATGCAGAATTTTGCAGAAGTTAATGTGTGCGCAGAATTTCCTTTCCCCCACAGAAATGGGCTGCAGTGCTGCTCACCGCCACTAGGGGCCACAACTTGGAAGAGCCCAGCTTGCACTTAGAAGACACTGCTGTGGGGAGGGAAAGGGAGTTAAAGGGTTCCTGGCAGCTGCAGTTCACAGCATGCCCTGAGGGAAGCAGTGGGCGGCAACACGGGAAACTCCTGGGACCGAGCATCAGGCTGTTTATTCCCTCCCCCAGAGCCCAGGGATTCAGAGGAGGGAGTGGGTGTCTGTGCTGGGGGAGCCACAGCTTGACTCTAGGGAAGAGGGGGTGCAGGTATCTGGCCCCCTGGTTGGCTCTGGGCAGGGGGAAGGGGACAGAGAAACAGGAACTGGGTTGTTATAGTTTCTTTAATTCTCTACTTCTTGGGGGATTTTTGCATTGTCAGTATTCTTACAGACATACTTGCTGACCGGTATTTTGAAATACATTACCCAGGTAATTGAAACTGGCTTGATTATATAATGTTGTTTTGACAAATAAAATTTGCAGAATTTTAAAATATTGTGTGCAGAATTTTTAATGTTTTGGCGCATAATGCCCCCAGGAGTAATATCTGCTTTTACACATCCTCCCCCCCACATTTTAATTCTTACTGTGACCATAGAAATAAAGGCTGGAACAAGCCTGATGCAGTGTCTTCAATCAATTCCCTGCCACTGCGAAGGCCTTGGGTATGGGGCCCACAGGAGTTCAGTTTCCTGAGGACTGAAATGCGTTGGTCTAATTAGTCATTGGGGTTTCTGAGCCAAAATTTGTTTTGTGCTATGCAGCAAGTCAGACTAGATTATCTAATGGTCCGTACTGGCCTTGGAATCTCTTAAACAAGCAGCAACCAAGACCGGGACAGAAACATGAAGACAAACCACACACCCCCTTTCAACAAACACATTTATGAATGAGCTAAGATACCAGCACCTAGTCTATTTACTATTAATGAGCTTGAAATCCTAGAATAATTGTGAGTCTCATGGATTTAACGCTCTTTATCCTTTTTTTTTACCTTAATTTGTCCCCAGAGACTTGTGTGCTTTGTTTCTTATCTGGGTGAGAGATGTACCATTGTATTTCCTGGTTACTTTATCTCCTTGATGCTGTATTTGCATTTGCTGTGGCAACTAAGTCAGATGATTTGCCTGCAATTTTCCTCTTGTGTGGTAACTGGTGCCATTAATTTATTTTGTACAAATTTTGTGTAATCACAACTTGTGAAGGATAGACTGTAGGCTAGCATGATGTCTGGTTTCCCCTCTGCATACAGCCCCAGCTTCTCCAGTATATAGTCATGACTTGTAGCCTCTCCAACAATTCCAGTCCTGGCCTATAGAGGCGCATACACATCTGCCAAGGCAAAAATAAAATCCAACATTGTGTAAGGACATTCCTAGTTGGCATTGGAATTCATGACTCTTCTACTGGTCTGTCAGTTTCTGCTGGAGGACACTAGTCCCCAGAATCCCTATGCAGTGATTGACTGGTTGATCCATTCCAAAATCTAGTTGTCAGCTGAAAACTGTTAGGATTTTTTCCCCTGAAACTTCTGCTAGGGATACTTCTTTCAAAATGGGAGGCTTCCATAAATGTCTGTCGAGGCATGAATGTCTGTTGTTCTGGTGCCGGAGTCATTTTAAAGCACTGTGAAAGGTTGGTTGACATGTAAGAGAAGCAGTTTTGTGAGTAAATAAGGTGATGGAGTGAGAAGGGGGAACTGCTAAAGAGGGGGAAAGTGAGTCTGAGATGGGAAAGTGACAAACACTAAAATGTCTTGTGCCTAGCAGGGGAAGGTGGGGAAGAGAGATTCCCCTATCTGGAGAGGGGAAAAACAAGTAGCAGCGAGCATTCTACACAGAAAATACTGAGGGTCTTCTAGCGCTGTACGTAGGCAGTCAAATCAGACATGTACCACTCCAAGCCTAACAGCTTTCTCCATACTGAGCAGGCCTGGGTCAGGCTTCCAAAAATCTGTGAATCATTCCAGCTTTTCTGGTTTGTATACAGCCCACATCAGTGAGCATCTTCTAAAAGTGTATTAATAATTATAAGAGTTAGACAATTTATTACAGAGCTCTTCATCTAGAGCTCAGAGTACTTTACAAAGGAGTACAAGTATCATTACTCGCACTTTACAGATGGAAAAACTGAGGTACCGAGTGGGGAAGTGACTTGCCCAGTATCACCCAGCAGGCCAGTGGCAGAGCTGGAATGTCTCCTGAGTCCCAGTCCAGTGCTCTATCCATTAGGCCAGTGGTATGCAAATTGGAGAGTGCACCCCCCCCTTGGGGTGAGGGAGACAAGAGATTCTCTGGGGAGTGTGAAGAAACTGGGATCCTGCAGGGCCTGCTGCTGTAATAGCAGGAGCAGGATACAAATAGAGTAGGTATTGCAGGGTGGGATGGGAGCAGGATTAAAAAAAAGTCGTCCTGCGCCGCAAACAACACGTATGCCCTGGCCAGCAGCTGCTACTCTCCCTCCTGCCAGCTCTCAAGGCAGCTCCGCCACTAGCAGCAGTGCAGAAATAAGGGATTACTTCAGATTACAAGCAATGGAGGGGGAAGGGGGCGACAAATTCCGTGAATGGTAAGGGGGGGTGGGGTGACTGGAAAAGTTTGCACACCACTGCATTAGGCCTTTCTGCCATTAAATAAGAGTAGCCTCTGTCACGTGTTGTGTTTTTTGTTTGTTTTTGTTTTTTTTCCCCCTCTTCCACTTTTAGGATAAATTGTGTGGGGATTTTTTTAGGAAGTCTGTACACAAAGGCAGTTTCGTAGAAATGTCTTGCCCTTGGAGCAGAAGATGGTTCCAAGATCCTGTGGGATTTTATTGTTTAGTCATGGAGTGGTCTCCAAGAAAGCGTTGTCTCCTGCACAGGCTAGAACATAAGGATGGCCATAGTGGGTCAAACCGATGGTCCATCTAGCCCAGAATCCTGTCTTCTGATAGCGGTCAATGCCAGGTGCTTCAGAGGGAATGAACAGAACAGGTAATCATCAAGTGATCCCACCACTAGACTCACCTTTAGAATGGAAAGTTCCCTTCTGCCAGAGGAGCAGAGCTTTCAGCTGCGGTTGTGGGTATCCTGGGCCCAAGTCATTGAGTGCTCCCTCTGTTCAGTGAGCAGACAGAAAACAAGGATAATGCATCTCAAAATGTACTCATAGTTTATTTTGGCAATATTAGTTTTCTCTCTAAGTTGATGTACTATTTAACTCTTTACAGTAACATACTCTAGTCATACTTGGCATTTTCTAGCACTTTTCCCATCCAAGGATCTTGATAACGAGATCTTGGTAAGAGACCGAATAGTAGTCTGTGTTAAGTAGGGAGACATCATTTGTGTATGAATTGTAAGGTGTGGCTCACTTACTTCTCAGTCCAACGTAAGAAAGACCTAGAAAAAGTGTAGAACAAACCTGTTAAAAATGCAATCATCCAAGCAAAAAGGAAGCCTGGCTTTTGCAGTTTAGAATTTCATGTTTTTAATTACTGTAACAGCTAAGAGCCTTAGTCATGGATCACAGGACCCCATTCTGCTAGGCGCTGCACAAACAGAGAAAAAGACAGACCCTGCCTCAAGAAATGATACACTTTTGCAACATATTGTAAGCTGAGTGAGGCGGGGGCCATCTTTTGTTCTGTGTTTGTACAGCATCTAACACAATGGGCGCCTGGTCCGTGACTGGTGCTTCTAGGCCCTCCTGCAACACAAATAATAAATACCATATAAAAACAACTTGGTGTGGCCAAAAGTGCCATTTGTTAGAAAGGTTGGCATGCCCTCTGGAAACCTCACACGACTTTGAAATCCATGAAAATGCTTTAAAATGTCTGTTCCCGGTGACCTTCCACTCCAGAAATATGCCCAGTGATTATGGGTTTTGTTTTATTCCCATCTTTTCCATTACAGAATCCATATGCAGGTTGGGTTAAGAAAAGCGTAATGACTGGAAGGGGGGAGGGAGGGGAGGAGTGTTTCCCTCTTTTAGTCATTTCTCCCTCCCTCCCCAGGTCTGCCAATTCTATAACAAAGGTAGAGGACCACATGGGACTTGCAGCCAGCAAGACAATTGCAACAAACTTCATGTTTGCCGACATTTCCTCCGAGGAGAGTGTAGGTTTTCCAAGTGCAACAGATCCCACAGGATTCTGGACGGCAATGTGCTGAGGTTGCTGATAGCAGAAGGATTAAATATTATCACAGTGAAGAACATCCAGGTCATCTGTGATCACAAGCATACTGAGTTCAGCAAGGAGGTGGGCCAGTGGAAAAGTAAGTGTTAACGAACAGGTGTAAATTGTAGCATGAATGATGTTTCCCCCTCCCTTGGACGTGTTGAAGGCTAGTCTTTTTACCTACATCTTTGTGGGATTTCACCATCCTTTTCTGCTTTCAGTGCCTCCCCCACACAACAGAGCTACACCAGTTGGAGATAAAAAGAAAGCAAGTGCTGGGAATCCAGAAGAAATTGGACCTAGGCCCACTTCCACTACACCAGCCTCTACATCACATGAGTCTACCTCACAAGGTAAAACTATAGATGTGCCAGTTAATTTGTATGTTGAACCATCTTTTCTGCTTTCCCATTTCCTTAATTCTTGAGTGTAGGCCTGCGTATTGACATTCACTCCTCCTCTGCCTTCGTGCTCACAAGAATGGATCAAACAGTGCTAGACCCTATCACAGACCGTGCATTGGAGAGCACTTCTAGGCAATATGTATCTGTATCTTTTCATACACAATAGATCCCTGGCCAGTGATTGTTGTACAGGAAGCTGCTACTGAGGACTAGTAGTCGAATTTCAATTTCACTAGCTGGAATGACCACGTTCATTTGTAAGAATTACTAATAATAGATTATATAAGTAGTAGGATGGTGGTGGGGAAAAATACAGTTTGTTTGCCTTGAACGTTAAGGCCAGGTCATGTGCTCGTGTAAACCAGTATGATTCCACTGATGTCAACCAGGGAGGATCTAATCTAGTGGCTGCTTTTCGTTGGGTTATGATGTGGGTCACGTAAGGTGGAAGAGTGCTAGAGCAACCCCCGGAGCTGAGAAGTGATTGGAGCAAAGATAAAGGCACAGATCTTTTTTGCCTGTGAACTGCTAGGAGAGGCTATTGCAGAGTCCTGCTCTCTCCCTTCCCACCTTTTTTCCCTCACCCTTGAGGCTGAAGACTTCTTCGTTTTTAATTTCAATTATAGCCCATCTGTTGGTGGTTTGGCAGCTTGTTAGTATGCCCGTTAAATCATCCCACATCGTGGCTTGGATCTCGGTTCTTCCCATCTCTTGTCCCCAACAAGTAGAATATAAAATATAGTTATACATCTTTATTAGCTGAGAGGTTGTGTTGAAGCCCACTCTGGAATATGAATAATGTAGTAGAGAGAGAGCCTGGTGCACGGGACCTGGTGCAAGACGTGCGGCCTGAACAGGCAGCAAAGTCAGGCCATGTATCAAAGCAGATGCTTACAAGGTCACTGACCAGTGCTTGGCAATGGTATAGCTAGTGTTGCTAGAGCACAGGCACTCTTAAGAAGTACTAGGCGCTGGGTATTCATCCGCAACTTGTTTGTGTCGATGTATAAAAGAGAAATCCTAGGAGGGGCATCTTTGCCCAACCTAGGGGACAGCAGAGACTCCTGCTGCTGACTGACCTGGTACCATTGTCATGGGCATACGTGTGTTAGTGTACCTGTAGCTCCTATAGGGGACTAGGACTGTCCTTCGTCGACAAGAAACGTGGCCGAGCGCCTTCGCCACTGAACCGAGTCTGTGGTCTTTCGGGGGGGGGGTACTGCTGAGGTCTGCTAAACCGACTACAGACTGGCTGGGACAGAATAAGGAGAGAACACGCACGTGCACACACGGGCCCCAACACTGGCAACCCCAATGTGGTTTCTCTTTTGTACATTGATACAAACAAGTTACATATTAAACTTCTGACGTGGTTAGTTACCAGCCTGCACCTTGTACCTGTAGGTTCGAACAAAACATCTCCATCCATTATCTTGTCATCCTTATTTTAGGAGGGTTTGATGTGTTCCTGTACCATCTTCAAGGAGTGTGTTCATGCCGTAACTCTATGTTGAGGCAGGCCTGTGCTAACCTTCTGGAATGTGTTTGCATGAATACCCAGTGTTTAATACTATTTAGGAGTGCCTGTGGTTCAGAAACACTAGTCATACCACTGCAAAGTTCATGTAACAGACAGTAAGCATCTGCTTTGTGTGGCCTGACTTTGCTTACTATGGTTCAGGCCTCAGGTCTTACGCCAGGCACTGTGCTCCAGGCGCACGCATGCGTGCTCTCTCTTTTTCTCCTATAGATAGTAACACTACTAAACCTCCCTTCCAGGTTCCTGATGTTAATGTAACTGGTGTCAGTTAGTGTTGTGTGGGTAGCCCTCACTTGCACCAGGCTCCGAATCCGGCAGCTGCAACCAGCTCCTTGCTGCCTCTCGGACAGAACCGAGAATCCAGCTCATCTATTTTTTTTCTCTGTTGCAGGGTGTTTTGTTGTTTGGCATGAGGAGATATGTTTGATGTGCTCTAGACTGTTCTTTCCCACAGGTGTCAAAGCTGTTCCTCCTTCTAACGCTTCTGGGAGCAATGAAATTAAAAAATGTGATGAGATATGCCTGTACTATATCTGGAGGTACTGCAAACATAAAGGTAAGTCTGACTAATGATGTTATCTATCGACTGTCAACAGGAACTGCCCTGTGCAGACTTCATATCTCTGACTAGTAATGGGATATGGAAACTTTCATATCTGGATCACTGGCTCAGTGTTGGTAGTAATGATTCTCCATCCCATATCTGATGCCTTCAAGGTGAGTTGGTCTAAAACAGGGACTAAAAGCTGTCGCAGTTGTGAAGAGATTCAGAGGAAAAGTCAGACTGACTAGACAAATACTGATGTGCCCTCTCTCTTAGAGGTGGGCCCTCCCAATCAGGGGTGAGTCATGCTGGTGGGGCTAGATGGGGGAAGCTTGCAGTGTCATTGCTTGCATGTTTCTGTGGCTAGAGTAAGTCAGTCTCCAGGGCTGTTAAACCTAATAGTTTTGGTGGGTTAATTTTTTAAAAGATAAAAATCGGAGAAAGCTGCTGTTGTCAGACTTGAAGCAGAAGTCCTTGCAGACCAGTACCTGGGTCTGATTATAGCCATGTTCATTTCCCGTTAAGCCCTTTACTATATGGCCTGCAGTAGCACATCGTCTAGTTCTTTTTATGTGAACCAGCTGAGTTATGTCAAGCTGCTTCAATTACTGATGTTGCTGATTAAAGTTGAAAATACTGAAGTGAGTTGCCTAGGAGGTATGTTTTTTTTGTTTGTTTGTGCCAGACTCATACTCCAGGAAAGATTGTTCTACTAAGGCTCTTTGTCTGGTATGCAGTGTAAGAGTCAGACAATCCTCGTCCTGTCTTGGTAATAGGATTCTAGCATTTGTTTTTAAAAATTGTGCTTTTAAAGAATTGACCCCCTTCTAAGCTTTCCTACATACAGCAAGAAATTAGCTCTGGCCAAGAATGACTAGCCATGACTCCCTCTGGAGTGTCTCCAGGCCAATGCAAGTGCTGGCTAAAGGAAGGAACTTGACTTTCACTCTCTCTGTGAGACTGAGGAGTGAGATATATGTAGTAGTTTGATGTAAATGCAGAGGAGACAGAGCTGAATGGGAGTTGCCCCTTGCTAGGGCTCCGATTATGGGCATAATGGCTCTTTGGGGCAGGGAACATCTTTTTCTTTTGTGTTTGTACAGCACCTACCACAGAAGGGGCCTAATCCATGACTGGGGCTCCTAGGTGCTACAATGATACAAATAATAATAAACCTTTCCTCAGTCCTGCTCTGGCTGCATAATGGACGTGGCAGTATTGCCCGTCCTGCACTCAGGGACGACTTCTTCCTTACTCCACTGAGGGCACATGGTGGCCCAAAGAGAGCAGGGAAGAGGCAAGGCCTATGGCTCCATCCAGCCCCAACACTTTTGCCTGCCGAGCAAGCTGGCTGCCTGTGAATGAGTAGTCTGCGCTCTTGTTGGCGCTTTCCTCTCGAGTGTTGCGGTTCATACTCCCCTGTGCTTTGGGCTGGGCCTAAAAGGCACAGTCAAGCCTTCAGTGTGTTCACCCTTCTGGTCCTGAAACTCTCTTTAAAAAACTGAGGGAGAAACAAAACCAAAATAGCACCAGGGTTTCCCTGGTGTAACCTGTTTGCTTAACCTTGAGAGGAATTGCGCTTACTCCCCTTGCGTGTTTGGGGCTGAGCTGATAAATGCTGGGTCATACCTACGTGTCACAGTGATAAACAACACTGCTCTCACACATGCCAGTGTCAGTTGTCAGGGCGATATCTAAGCAAAGAAAGGTGTGTGGACTCCGACTTAAAATCAATAATGTAAAGAGCTTACGCTGCTTCGCTAGTTAGAAAGGGCATGTTTCAACTCTTCCTTCAGTTTTACTCCAATCTAGCTCTGACTTCAGTGGACTAACTTTTGATTTACCCCAGTGTACATGAGAGCAGAATCAAATGGAAGGGGAGAAGGCCAAAGAGATCATGATGATAATGCATTGCAGGGTTTGCTGCTTATTCCTCCTCCCTTGGTTCATTTCAGTGTCCTGCCATCAGTCTGCTCTAAGGTTATATGAGCTCCTTAGCATGTTTGTTCTCTTTGCAGATGACTGCAGGATGATTCATTATCATCTGCCTTATCGATGGCAGAGGTTTGATGGAGTCAATTGGCTTGATGTTCCCAAAATGGAGGTAGTCGAAAAGGCCTATTGTGACCCCCAAAACGACAGGTATAATAATGCTTAAAACCTCTTTGCTAAGCTCTGTAAAGGAGCTACATAGCTTCTTTGCTAAGCTCCGTAAAGGAGCTACATAGTCTTTGCTAAGCTCTGTAAAGGAGCTACATAGCTTTGGGGCAGCACAAGGATAGTCCAGCTCTTGTTTCTGGTTGATGCCCATCGAATGCTTCATGCCCAAGACTTCACCTGAAAGCTGTCTGTTGACCTCATAACCTTCTGCTAGAGACTTCTCAGTAACATAAATCGTTGCTGAACAGGATCTCTGAAACTATACAGAGAGACAGTCTGAGGGTGCACAGGAGAAGAGAGGTTTCAGAGTAACAGCCGTGTTAGTCTGTATTCGCAAAAAGAAAAGGAGTACTTGTGGCACCTTAGAGACTAACCAATTTATTTGAGCATGAGCTTTCGTGAGCTACAGCTCACTTCATCGGATGCAATTATAATTATAATTCAAGAATTATAACATTCATAAACTAGTCGGAGAACACTTCAATCTCTCTGGTCACGCAATCACAGACATGAAGGTCGCTATCGTAAAACAAAAAAACTTCAAATCCAGACTCCAGCGAGAAACTGCTGAATTGGAATTCATTTGCAAATTGGATACTATTAATTTAGGCTTAAATAGAGACTGGGAGTGGCTAAGTCATTATGCAAGGTAGCCTATTTCCCCTTGTTTTTTCCTCCCCCCCCCGCCCCCGGACGTTCTGGTTAAACTTGGATTTAAACTTGGAGAGTGGTCACTTTGGATGAGCTATTACCAGCAGGATAGTGAGTTTGTGTGTGGGGGGGGTGGAGGGTGAGAGAACCTGGATTTGTGCTGGAAATGGCCCAACTTGATGATCACTTTAGATAAGCTATTACCAGCAGGACAGTGGGGTGGGAGGAGGTATTGTTTTATGATCTCTGTATGTATATAAAGTCTGCTGCAGTTTCCACGGTATGCATCCGATGAAGTGAGCTGTAGCTCACGAAAGCTCATGCTCAAATAAATTGGTTAGTCTCTAAGGTGCCACAAGTACTCCTTTTCTTTTCAGGAGAAGAGAGAGAAGTTAGACAGTAGATAGCTTTATGAAAATGTTTACCTGTTCTTGTGGTAAGTGAAATGGCCTGTAGAGGAGTTCTGCCCTGTTATTGAGATTATATAGGCAAATGAAACATGTAGCATTTGATGCACAGACTGGGTGTATAATAACATAGAGTTCATATTGAAGTTATTACCAATAACTGAATGAAAGCTTCTCCTAGACCGGGGGTTCCCAAACTTGGTTTGTGGCTTGTTCAGGTTAAGCCCTTGGTGGGCCGCGAGACACTTTGTCTACCTGAGTGTCTGCTGGTAGCTACTAGTGGCTGCAGTTCACCGTTCCTGGTCAGTGGGAGCTGTGGGAAGCGGTGCAGGCCGGGCCACCACTTCCTGCAGCTCCCATTGGCTGGGAACAGCGAACTGCGGCCATTACCTGCGGACACTCAGGTAAACAAAGTGTCTCGCGGCCTGCCAGAGACTTACCCTGAACAAGCCGCAAACCAAGTTTGGGAACCCCTGTCCCAGACTGTTTTTATGGCTGTCAGTCCTCTATACAGCCATTATTTGGAACTTGGCATGACGAATCTTTTATGAAGTTCTCCATTGTGAAGGATGGGCCCGCCTGGTAGACCTTATTCATAGATATAGAATGCAATAGGAGTGTTCTCTAGATTCACCCACTTTCCTATTCGTTCCTTCTCTCAAAGCCCCACATTCCACTGACATGTCACTCTGATCATAGAGCACTGGTGATCTCTGAAGCTCAAGGGTGGCCAGATGTGATTGCTTGAGAGTTCTGGCCCTTGCCTATCCAGGAACAAAAGATTTCTGTTCTGTTTTTACAAAGCCTGTTCTCAGGCAGCCCAGAACAGCAGGCTTTTATCCATCTTTGTCAGGCAAGGCTCACTTTGAGGCACTTTGCCTGAGCCAGACAGACTTATTTTAAGTCAAATTCCAAAGCTTCTCAAGGATTAAAATCCGGCATGCCCAAGTGCAGCTTGGGGGACAGATGAAGCCTACAGAGTCCTCAAATATGGCCATTCCCTCCATAACTGCCGCATGAGAAGAATGCTGATCAACTGCAGGTTTTTATTGCTGGTGAACTCCAACACTACACAACTTATACTCTTCTGGCAAGGAGGATACAAACACAAGCAAATACTAGCATCATCAGCATTCATTACAAAAAACATGTATCAATAAATTAGGTGTAGCCCCAGACTTTCTAGAAAGTCAGCAATGATGCCTCTAGCATCATGTAGTTTGCATGCTCTGTGTTAGATATAGACAGTGTTAGCTCTTTTTTTGCAGGAGGGTGTCTGGTCACAAGGATCTGAAGCTCCTGAATCAGAGCATGCCTGCATGGGGCAATTTTCTGATCTACTTTTCTTAAGCAACCTTAACTAGAGGCAGTGCTACCAGTTCTACCTATAATGTGAAAGCCCTTTCAGCTAGTGACCAGAGAGGATAATTTATGCAGTTAGCACTAGTGTAATTCTGAATTTCTCTCTAGCTTGGCAGCAGATCAAAACATCAATTTCAAGTTAATTACCTCTTCTTCTGCTCTGCTTCGACGCCTCTCCACACCATCATCGGTTACAAAACCCCCCAAATTCATAATGACGACAAAATGGATTTGGTATTGGAAAAATGATCTCGGCCAGTGGATTGAATATGGGAAACAGGTGAGCACCTTGTAATGTCCCTCTTAGCCACCTCTGGAAGGATGTCACAAATAGTCTCCTCTGTTATATTGTAACCTGTAGATATTGTTTGTTTTTTTGATTTTATAAAACAATGGGCCCATTCCCATGGCGTAGTTAGCAATTAATAAAACCAGATGATTGACACTGTGTGGGTATTTATTTCTGGCAAAGCAAGCACCTATAAGCTTTTATAAGCCCCCTCAAAAAGGCATCTGATTAAAATCTTGTACCAATTTCTCTACCCCTTCCCAAAATATCATGAGAAAAGCTGAGACTTTCATCATATCCAAGAAGCAGAGATCTAAGCATTAGCAGGCTTAGTGATGGGGAATCATAAACAGGATATATGCGACATTCATGAAGAATGCCCTTCCAGTAGCAGGCTTTTCCCCCTTTTTTTTGTATTCTACTGAAGAAAACTATGTAAAGAGAACATTCTTAAGGTTGCAAAGTCAAGCACTCCAAAATTGAGAGAGGCCAGAATGAAAGTTGCCTGTGCAATCGTAATTTGGCTCTCTTGTACGTGCGCACTGATAGTCTTTAACAACATGATCACGTACTATTTTTTCCCATAGGACTTCAGCCTCAGAGTGCTCAGGATGGATGGTGATCAATGAAGGGGTAGTTGTTCAGTATTTATTTATTTATATTCTCTTCATTCAGTCTGTGGGACTGGGCTTTATTTACTTTACGTGGTCCAAACCCAGCACTTAATAAAGAATTCTAAATTTTCTGTGGCAATCATGACTATAGTATGTGAATGCTTCACAGCATTAATGAATTAATCTTCACAAGACCCCTGTGAGATGAAGGGATGTTATCCCCATTTTACAGGTGGGCAGCTGAGGAACAGAGTTTAAAACTAAAATTGTCAAGTGTCCACTGATCTTTATACTGGCATTTCCTAATTTATTTTCACATATGACTTTGTAACTTTAACATTCTCTTTAAGTAATTTTCTGTATGTAATTTCCTTTTTAAAAAAGTGTATGTATGTATATATATATATATTATATATAAAAAAGCAAATTGACAAAAGAAAGCGTTCACCAAATGAAACCATATTGAGCCTGTCATAGGGTCTATACACCTCATGCTGGTTCATTAGCTAAAGGATTAAAAAAGCAACTGCCTGCCTGCTTAGCCAGAGCTTAATGGCAGTCCCACAGCAGCTGGATAAAAGGGCTGCAAGGTAAGTGGGTGGGGCAGCTGCAAGAGAGATGATCCCTCCAGCAGACTGGTGAGAAGCTGCCAGACAAACCAGTGCTCCAAAGAGGGATAAACGGGGCAGGAGGCTGGCAAGATTACAAAGGTAGGAAGCGGCTGAGAGAACAGCATGGGACTGAGAAGGATTCTCGCTGTTCCAAACAAGGGCCCTGAGCTGGAACCCAGTGGATTAGGCGGGTCTAGGTTCCACTACCTATCTCGGCCAGGGATTTTTAGAGAAGAAGTTCCCAATCCCAGGAGACCTAGACTGATTAGCCCCTATTGGAGCCATGGAACTTCTGCCGTCCCATTATCCTAATGGGGGCAAAGACTATTGAGGACCTGGCCAGGAGGGATTGAGCCTTAATAAGGACTTGACAAATGCAGAGTTGGGTTTGGCAGTGTAACGGGGAGGGAGTCAAGTGGGTATAGTTCCCAGTCCTGCCACAAGGGGATGCTGACACACACCCATATTACAGATTAGCCTGTGGGTCATCAACAGGATTGGAACAGCACAGACCTCTACCGCTTGAGCTAATGGAGCAATTGGCAGCAGTAGTAGGCTGTTATCCTTATAAATGGACCATCCTATATAAGGCAATGAAAGATCTACTTTGCCAGCAGATTACACGTGCATTTTCTAGACAGCAGAGGAACATTGTGATTCAGGAGTCCTGAGTTCTCTTCCAGGTTCTGGACAGAAGTGTATCCTAGTGGTTTTAGACTCTCTCTTGCCTTGTCACTCTCAGCCCGTCCCCTAGTATATTTCCCACACCTGTCCCCACCCCCTCTGCTCCTCTTCACCATAGCCTGTCCCTGCTTCCCTTTTGCATGTGATTCAGGCTGCTTCCTCTTCCTCCATGCTACCTGGGCACCAGCAGTGGAGCCTTGAGTGTGCAGGAGAAAGTCTCTCCGGTCTCTGTTCAAGTGCCTGGCACCAAAGTTGACCCTGACGTTTAGGAGGAAGGTTGGCAGGAAAAGCCCTCTGAGCCCCTGTAGTCCTCAATTGGAGCATGCTCTGTTCAGACAGAATGTTTGAAGAAATTAGATGCCAAACTTGTTACAAATGTCTGTGGCTCACGTGAGCTTGTAAAAATGGCAGTATTTGGAAGCTGATAAACTTGGCCAAATTCAGGTGGATTGTCACAAGGACAACAAAAGGCAAGTCTCTGACCCAGGGCAGTCCCCCACCTTGCCAAATTTCAAATCTCTGCTCCCAAAGAATGAGGGCTGTACAGCTTCTCAACAAAATGATTTTAAGAATTTTTTAATAATGGCAAAGTGTCTTCCCCCCACCCCCCAATCTAATTTTCCAGAATGGCTGAGCTGTTTTCACTAAAACTTGAATAGTTCAGCCTCTGTTAGCATGGGAAAGTTCAGCTCGAACAGTTAAACTTTAGTAAAGTTATAAGCAACTGAAATAAAAGGGTCTATAATGGAGGAGTGTTCAGGCAACCTAAACTATGGTGTCCCAGCCAACTCCATCCATAATAAAGAGATCTCTGCATGAGCAGCTATAGCCTGGCACAGGAATAGAAATGTTCTCATAGCTTGTTCCAACCAGTAGCAGCTTGAATTCCACCGGGTAACTTGTAAGGGCCCAGTATCATTTCCAGAGCACATTTCCAATTGAAGTCAATGGGAGCTGCAGGTTAGAGAACAGGTGGGGCTTTTGGAACCTCTGATGGCATGGAAGGGATGTGAAATGGTTCAGTTTTACATCAAGCTTGGCATTACATTTCAAAGATAATGCCCCATGAAGATGAATGTGGCATTTCTCATGTCCAGAACTATTCCGGGTGGGTTTCTTCATTGTATAGATTTTTGGAGGGGCACGGGAGGGTGATGACATCCTTTCCTTATGCAGCACTTTTGAGATCTATGGATGGTAGGCACTGTAAGTGCTAAGTATTACTATCATTTATTTATTTTTCCTCAGTCTCATTCTCCCACAAACAACTCTGTAACTTCCTCTATGCCTGGAGCAAACTTCCTGACCCCGTGTGCCTCCTTCAAAGTTGCTTCCTCAGTTAGTTGTCCAAAGTTGACCTCCACTCCTCCCACTATATTTTTCCACTCTCAATCCTGTGTTATACCTGATATAGATGTGGCTAGGGAGCTGTCACTTTATTTACCTGTGTAGGCCCAGGCCCACTAATAACATATAAGCAATGCAGTTTTTTTACTAGCAGAGGTCAGAATTCATGGCTCACGTTTATCAGTGAATGAAAAAGGCAGTTGTACAATCTTTTGTCCTTCCAGATGGGTTTAACCATTACTTTTTCCCTACGTTTCCATTCTATAGGATGGACTACAGGGAGCCGCTGCGCTAACTTCTGATGATTTGGAGAATTTATTTCTGGCGAATCCAAATGACATCCTACAATTTCAGGCTGGTTCCCAACAATATGAGATCAATTTTAAAGGTACTATAACCCTTTAATTCCAATTGAACACAATGCATTATAGTTTATAGTTAGTCTGGTAGCCTTGATATGCCACGTTGCAGTGCTTTTCTGGGAGAAGTGTACAGAGGGAGAATGCTGCAAATAGGGTTGGCTGGATAGTTATACGAAGGGGAAATAGTCTACATATGCAGGGTGGAATGTAGTAAGAGGAGAGAAATCTGCAATCTGTAAAGTGGAGAATGTGTAAATAAGTGTTATACCAATAAAATAAAAACCAGCAGGATCTTCTTAAAGGGGGAAAAAGGCAAAATGCCACATTTATTGTGAATACAGAAAGAATTATAGTAAGCAGTTAGTTATAGCTATAACATTCCATTCAATTTCATATTTATTCTCACACTCACACAGGTTCTGCAAGGTTGTTATCATAGTTACCAGCCTTAGAGTTGCTCGTGCCAAGCCACTGGCCAGGTGGCCTGGACACGAGGAGGGAGCAGGGCCTTGTCTGATGCTCCTGGAACTTGGTTTGCAGAATCAGACCCCAAAGTTCTCAGTTTCTAGAGGTTCATTTCTGTAGGAATTTATTCCTATGCCAGTCTATGGAAATTGATTCATCATGCTGTTGCTGAATCAATCAGCAGATGGCACATTCCTGACGGCTCCGTGCTGCCAGACGTTATCTTGATTTTCAGTTCTCCCATCCTTGAGCCTGTTGGGTGGATTCTAGTCTGCCCTCCGGGGATCCTCTGGTTGTTTCCACTTTATGCCTTCTTAGGCTGATCGACACTGGATTTTTAGGCTGGCACCTCCCTGATCATTCATTTATTATCCACACCAAGCATACATCCTCTATCTCTATTTTAATCACAGTTAATAAAGCAAGATAAATAGAACAAAAGGGCGGGGAGTCTCTGTGTGAGTAGTTGTTGTTGTTACAAAGTATTGATTTGAGAACAGACTAACACAATTAGCAGCTTGCAAGTTTCACACAGAGGGAGAGAAACCATAAAAACAAGAGACCTCTTAATTAGTAATACCCTGGAATTTAAACTTTGGGGAGTCAAACTCATTTGTGATTTTAATACAAAACTTCTTTAATATGGTCCAACATAAGTATGTGGACAAATGAATGACCGAACAAAACAAGGCAGAAATTGGACAAAGAGGGCAGGGTAAGGTGCATGAGGTAAGGGGAGGGAGCGGGGGGAAGAGGTTTTAAAGAACGCTTTTCCTTTTAGAGTAAACTTGTGGAAGGCCTCATCTAACCAAAAACGAAATAATACTTGACCAGCCGCTGGTTGGTTTTTTTGCTATGATTATTACTTATGATTTTGTTTAAGATGGCTGTGTTTCCCTGAGAGCATCATGTGCAGCTTTTTCTTCTGCCAGATCCTGTAGCCTTAATTCTGAGCTTCTGACAAGTCTACGATGGGAATACTTCTAATATCACAGCTTTCAGAGTAGCAGCTGTGTTAGTCTGTATCTGCAAAAAGAAAAGGAGGACTTGTGGCACCTTAGAGACTAACAAATTTATTTGAGCATAAGCTTTCGTGAGCTATAGCTCACTTCATCGGATGCATGTAGTGGAAAATACAGTGGGGAGATTTTATATACACAGAGAACATGAAACAATGGGGGTTACCATACACGCTGTAACAAGAGTGATCAGGTAAGGTGAGCTATTACCAGCGGTGGGGGGGACCTTTTGTAATGATGATCAAGGTGGGCCATTTCCAGCAGTTGACAAGAAGGAGTGAGGTATCACAGCTGTAACCCATCACACAGCTGTAGCTCTTTCTGGGGATCTCCATGGTCTACAAAGTTATTTATGAATTCTCACAACTTTCCTTTGGCCTATTATTATAATACCCATTTTGCAGAAGGGTTACTGAGGCTCACAGGGGGCACAAAATCTGTCAAGCTCCTTCAGCGCTCCACTCCAGAATTTTCAACTTCACTGCAGCCTTAAATGGGAGCAGAAGACAGGAGATGAGGGAGTGAGCTCTTATTTAAATACATAGTAAAGCCATGAATTGTCTGGTAGATTTGAACGTTTTCCATGCTATGAAGAAAGAGTATAAGTGAGATGGAGGGAGCAAGTGAGTTCCGGAAAGATAGGAAAGCTCAAGTAAGAGAGTCATAGGAAAGAGACGGAGAAGATTGAGACAAAGTAGTGGGGCTGTAGAGATAGCTGTTGCTAAACAGACACAAAGTTCAGCTGGCCACATTCCATCAACAAATGAATGTTTATTTCCTATCGTGCTCTGTGTGTGTGTGTAAAAACATATAAAATAAATTTTCTCTTTCAAGAAATGGTCCAGAAAAATGTCCGCTATCAAACTCAAAGAGAAGTCCGCAGGCGACCAAAGTTTGTGTCCTCAGAAGATGTGAAAAAGATGAAGAAAGGGTACTCAACAATGCGTTCATTTTTTTTTGTTTTGTTTTTTTTTCCACTGTAAAATGAAATGCCCCTGTATGGAATGGTGGCTGTATATGGGGAAGTTTCTTGATTCTCATCGACAATTCTTCCATAGCGGTTGGTTGTACTGCAGTGCAACTGTTCTTGCTTTTGGTGGAATCCTATAACAAACTGCTGGTTTGCAGATAGTTGCAGCAGTGCTACAATCAGTGTGCAACATTGCAGTTCTCTGCTGCATGAGCAGGAATCTGCCTGTTCCTGTGGTACACAGGGTAAGAGGAGATGGGGGTGTTGATGAGGAGGAACTTGTCTCTTACAAAAGCATAGTAAGGGGCCAAGGCCTCGTCTACACTACACGCTAGATCGACTTACATCACTAGTATATACCAGGCCTAAGAAATGCTGCCCACCAGAAACAGGGGACTAATTCCTGTTGGGAACCCCCTCGTTACATGACGATACTTAATTGGCAATCTGCAGTATGTAACCAGATTAAATCTGTGTTGTCAATTCTTACAAGGGAAGTGACCAAAAAAGACTGATTCCAAGGGGACCCTGTCCATTTGGAAGAAGGTTCAGGACAGGAGTGGAAGTACCATAGACTCATTCCTGGTTTTCTTTTTGTTTGCAAACAGCCAAAGAGTGACTGATACTCCAGATCAAAACTATCCTAGAAACTGGGACAAATCAGCGCTGCCTGACGTGGGGTACAAGGTACTTGTGTCTTCTCCTTTTTGCTCCAGTGAGATTGGGTTGTTCCTATACAGGTTCTTTTGATGGAAAGGCACTGAGCCCAAAGGGACATGATAAAGTGTCCAGGTCTAGTGAAACATTTGCCGTTTGGAAATATAGTTACAAAGGGACAGATTTTAAAAGGTATTTAGGTTGCAGATTGGTGTCCAGGCACCTCTGAAAACCCCACTAGACACTGTACTAAAAATCTGGCCCAAAGTGTCCTGAGACTAAGATGTGTGCCAGGTGAGCTTGAAAACCCACCAAAGTATGTTTACATGGCAGTTAGACCCCTACGGCTGGTCCATGCCATCTGACTTGGGCTCATGGGGCTCAGGCTCAGGGACTGTTTATTTGCAGTGTAAATGTTTGGACTTGGGCTGGAGCCCAGGTTCTAGGACCCCGTGCGGTGGAAGGGTCCCAGAGCCGGAACATTGGCATTGCAGTTAAACATGGGTTTTTAATTGTAGTGTAGATGTATCCTGAAGTTCATGTCTATTCAATAGGAACTGGACTGAGATTACCAACTCTTGCCACATAGGCCACCAAAGAACCATCATAGATGATGATCATGATATGGTCATTACTAGGTCAAGTTTGGACTAGTGACTTAAAAGTGAAAAATCTCCATATACCATTAACCACATCCGACACCACCAAATGTTCCTTTTTAAGATCTGAGCATAGGCCAAGGTCTCCTGTGAATGGGAGAGATTAATGGTTGTTGCTAATTATAAATGGTCATTGAAAATAGCTCTCATATAGTGAAACTTCTGGCTCGCCTCACATGAGCTTGTAAAATCTTTGCCCCTCTGTTTTCATATCTAATCAAACACATACAGTGTTAAATATATAATACAGACACAAAGAAATGAAGCAAAAAGAAAAGGAGTACTTGTGGCACCTTAGAGACTAACCAATTTATTTGAGCATGAGCTTTCGTGAGCTACAGCTCACTTCATCGGATGCATCCGATGAAGTGAGCTGTAGCTCACGAAAGCTCATGCTCAAATAAATTGGTTAGTCTCTAAAGTGCCACAAGTACTCCTTTTCTTTTTGCGAATACAGACTAACACGGCTGTTACTCTGAAAGAAATGAAGCTAACCAGTAAGAGAAGAGCTGTTGGACATCTAGGAAACCTGTTATTATTGGTGGTTAGTGAGGTGAGAGATTAAAAGAATCCAGCTTTCGTTTCAGTCAAGTACCTCGTCTCAGTTGACACTTTAAGATTTAACATCTTCCATCTTAAAGTGTAGACCAGGTAGAAGCATAATTGATCTGAGATTGATCATTACCTCTCTGACCATAAGGTTTTTCTTTCACAGTAGTAATCCTCCTCTTTCACTGTTTCATGGCTGGCTGGGATTCTACATGCCTCTGTGGTGGCCTTCACAACATCTGACACCTCAGCCTTGATGAATTTCCTACACTTCAGACATTGGCCTTGCAAACTGTTCTGGAAAATCTTGCTACACTGGAAAGGATCACTTATGAGAGACTCTTCACCCCTTTCCCCCCCCCCCCCCCCCCCCCAAAAAAAAAGTCTTCCCTGTTTAGTGTAAAGTCTTCTATTTTCTTCCTCCTTCCCTACACATAATATTGGAGATTGCAGTATTTATTCTGTAAAGCATTTTGAGACATGAAAGATCCTATGCAAAGTAGAAGTTTATATGTCTATAATCTATATTGTTAGATATTGATAGCTTGTTAGGATTAGTAAATCAGGTGTTGTGAATCCCCCTCCTTTTTTTTAAACTTTGTGTAATGGTGACAAAATGGAATTGGTAGCTGAAGAGAGAGAAATGGCAAAAAATGAGTTGTGATGTTGTCGTAAAATGTATGAATATAATATTTGTGTTGGAGAATGAGCAGGCTGACCCAGAAGCGGATTGAGTAGAGGGGTTTCTTTATTGTGGTACTTGTTCCCCTCGACCCAATTGTTGAGGAAGCCCTGAATTAGTTACAGCACTCTTTTTTTTTATTTGTTAGTATGTAAATATTTACATTTACTACAATATCCCCAAAACCCTTACTGAGTAATATTAATGTCCATACAATGACTATTAATAGCTATATACTGAATATAATTATCCCCGCCCCTGTACTGTTTACAACATTAGCATATCTTACAAATAATTTTACCTTGAAGATAAATTTCTTTGCAGTAATTGCAGCCACAGATTCCCTTGATTAGCAGTTTGCAGGGAAGGGAGGAAGAGGCCATGACCCTGAGCTCATTTATGTAGCTGGGAAAGGAAGGGAAGGGGAGAGAACACTGCTTTACACAAAGAGTATCCTTTAGATCCCCATATTCCTTATGCAGCTGCAACGCCTATTAATCCTTAACCAGGAGACGGGAAGGGAGAGGGGTAGCACTCTATGTATCAAGCACAGAAGCGGTGCCGACCCGTGCTTCTACTCCCTAATACCATGTCTGCACACCAGCGGTTTCCCAGGTCTCTGTTTAACCCTTACATATCTCAACACTTCGTAGTCTATATTCTAGCATGCTATCCTTTTAACATATGGAAATATATGTTAGGGTCAGAGCATTTAGTGACGCTTCCCAGGGTTGTGAGGCACCTTAATACCACCTGCCCTTGGCATAAGGCAGCCTTGTCCATGCCTGCTGTGAATCAGCTCCTTGAATCCACCAGCTTCTGGCAACATGAGGCCTTCCAAGTCTCCCCATCTCCCCCGCGCCCCACAGGATAGCGATGAGCCCACACCAACCTCTCGAGTCCTCCAAGCACCCCTCTCTTGAGTGCCCAGGCCCTGACCCACTCAACACTCGCAGAACTATCGAATTCTAAAGGAACAACACACACATCTGACAAGCTTTAACTCAGGATTATCACTCTGCTTATCACACAGCAGTCAGAGATACTGAAAGTGAAAACAAGAATAAGTTTATTATCAAATTACAGAGATTCAAATGATAGTAAGAAAGAATAATGGAAACAAATGGCTTACGTATAAAACAAAATAAAATGCTTGCTAAAGCCTAAACTTTTTCCCTGTTTCCTATAGCATAGCTTCCCCAAATCCTTTTTGTAGCATTTTCAACCAGGATGGTTCAGATCTTCCTTTCATAAGATCAAGCCCACTGACAGCTTGTCTTTCCAGATTGAAGGATGCCAGGTATACATCCGTACCCGCAGTGATATTCCCAAAAGTTCACTGTCTTTTTTACTTTTAAACAGGATAATCCCTGCTGTCTTTGCTTTTTTCCTGCAGCACTTGCAATCTGTTCGTTAGCATTTGGCTCCATATGCAAATAGACTTCCATTGTAAGATACACAATACACAGTGGTCAACCAGGGAGATAAATGTCTCCCACTTCCTGTTTGGAGAAATCTGTCTCCATTGCACGCTACCTCGGCCTTTAACTGCAAAGCCTGAAGAAGATAACATAACATGACACCTTTTGGTGAACCTAGGGGATCCCTGTAACCTGATGTACTGCTGTGACCTCTGCCAGTTGGCATCAAGAGGTCTTTGGTCTCTCTCCTCTCCATTCTGTGTCTCTGTTAGGTCTGTGGACTCTTGTCATGCCAGAGAGAAGTCACTGAGCTGAGATGAAAGCGTTTCTGGAAGTCAGAAGATCTAGTTTTGCCACTGATCTTGTGACTTTGGACAAGTCGCTTAACCTCTCTGCCTCAGTTACTCCCATCTCTAATATGGGGATAGTAATGCTTACAAGTGCAAAGCTACTGTTATACCACAGAACACGTCAGCCTATAATTTTAGATGTGGTGGTATTCTGCCAGCCTGAGATTTGGTTTTATTTTTGTTTGAACCACTCCAGTGAAACGGGAATGATTCTATAAAATCCAGGAGAAATGAGTCTGTGTCTGCTGCTTGGCAATCAATGTAATTGTTTTTTCTGGATATAGGCGAGTTAGGATTTGCCACTCAGATATTTTCTGTAAGATCATAACCCTTTCCTGACAGCACTCACCCTGCTCTCTGGCAAGTGGTGTGTGGGTGAGAGAGGGAAGGAGGCAGGGGAAGCAGGTACACAACTTGCAGGCAGTGCCAGGAGCTCCTCGGCCAAGCTGTGCCAGTGTTGTTCAGGGCCAGTTGGGCTCAGACCACCCCTCCCCACCTCCAGCCACATGTACCCAGGAAGTGGGGAACTTGTAGCAGCTTCAGCAGCTCCGTTGCTCAGGTCCAGGCTGTGCAGACCCCACTCCATGTGCTTTAGCTGTTTCTCTCCCAGGTATCCCTGGTCTCTGCTGTTACCCAGACCCAGCTGAGAGTTCCATTCTCTTACTTCTGAGGCAGAGAGCACTGGACAAGTGAACCACCCAAAGCAGCAAGTGGTGCATGGATTGGGGAGATGCCAGGAAAGCTTGGGATGGAAGCATGATGGTGGGGGAAAGAGGCTTTCTGGGTGATATTGAGGCTAAGGAAGGGGTGGGAATTCCTTCATGGAATGAGCAGTATGGAAGATGCTGTTAGTTTGGATGATCACAAAAATGCTTTTATTCTCCTACATGAACAAAATGAATAATTACGGTTGCCTGGTGCCAGAATACAGTGACACAATTCACATTGCTGCACAGTCCAGCAGTTCTCCTGTCACAAAATATGGATCTACTGTGATGTGAAATACACTGGGCTCAGCCGAGGGGAAGTTCTAATTTGTTAAGTGAGTTTTGCATGATCTTGATTTTTATTGTGAAGTGGCTTCGTAAAGTGTTTTTTTTTGTTTTTTTGCATAAAAGAAATGCGAGTTGCAATTTTCACACTGGTAGGCTTTTTAATAAAATCTAAAGAAATAATTCTTGCCACTGCAGCTTGGATCATTCTAAAATCCCATTAACCGATTTAAGATTTGTCCATTCAGAGGTTGTCTAATATATAAATATCTAGTAAACAAAAGTAAACTGGATACAGATCTCATTGTGCCACATCTAAATCCTACTTAACTTACAAAATCACTGATGTGCTTGAATTTTCATTTTTGATTATGACTGAGCTGACAAAGCTGTTGCTTTCACCATGCCTTCCAGAGCAGCCACTGCTCCCTGTTTTAAGATGCACCGTTGAGACGTTGGAATTGGGGCCTTTCACTTCAAGTTTTGATTTCATATTTGCCCTAGGCAGCAGTGACTGAAAAATTGTTACCAACTGAGGTCTGTCTGGTAGCCCTGTGTTACAGGAGTTGGTAGTCTCAGCCTAGTTTATAGTTGACAGGTCACCATCTCAACAGACGAAGTATGAAACCTATACAAACACTTGAATTCATCTCTCCTCCACCTGAGAGGTCCTTCCCAAAGAGAGGTACACTGCACAGAACAGAATGTGGGAGCTCACTTAGCAACTATCTGGGCTGTTCCTGTTCTGTTAGTGAATAGGATTTCAAGCCCTACATACACTCAAAAGATCCACCTTTGGTCTCACTGGCTCTGCCTATGAAAGTGTGGTCACCCCTTACACCCAGTTGAAACTTTCTGTAATCTTTGGCTGTGGCTTGGTGTTTTTATAGGCAGTGGAGATCACTAATCCATCCTCTGAATTCACTGAAATTGAGACCCTATTTAAAAGGACAATGAACAATTATGTTATCCAGAGAATGAGGAGGATTCAGAACCCATCCCTTTGGCAAGTCTTTCAGTGGTTTGTATCTATTTTATTACGTTACCCTAGTCGTGGCAATAATAAGGGGCGTGAGTCTCATAACTTCCAAGGCTGTCTCCTGGGCATACATGCTGGTGACTGGCATTAACTCTGGAGGTTGCCCGGTGTGATGTGGTTACTTAAAGGAACTCTCAGAAATACCCCTCAGGCCTTTCTGGGATAATTCGCTATTCATTGTTGATGTGCTGCTGCCGCTGAGCTTTAGTGCCCCCTCTTGGAAAAGGTCACATTCCCTCTACGGCAAAGCTGCTGACTCTCCGTGGAGTAGCTAATCCACGAAACTTAACAGATGGGACTAGCACACAGAATTGGGATGCAAGTACGTCTGTGTTTCCTGAATATTGAATTGCCCCGATATCGGTGTCTTCACTGTCTGCACAAGTTCAAAAGGAGACTGTATCCCTGAATAAGTCTGCTGCAGTGGATCTAGAGTCTCTTTTAATGGGTATTTTACAAATGTGTCGCACTCCTCTCTCGGGACAAGGTCCCTGAAGGCATATTTGGGGCTTCTGGTGTAAAACAGCCCAACTACATTGAGTACAATGCCCAAGGCTTGGGTTATTTGTTACTGATGTGCTCTAGTTCCTTTTGTGTTTTAAATGTCTGCAGCATAGTTGGCCAATTAAGAACAGCAGCAGAAACATTTAAGAAGAGTGCTTTGATTTAGTGGCAATTAGGGGGTGGGGAGAGCATATAAGACCCTACCTAGATAGACAGAACATTTTCCCCTCAAACAGTTTGGGTTTGGCAATGATGGAGCTAATAGTCTAACCAAGCAATAACAATTGCTAAGCAGCAAAAAGGAGTTTGCTAGAAATGGCTTGTTTTAACAGAACAGACCTTGAAAATAACTGACAGCTTTTACCACAACCTGAGAACTAATCTTAATCCATTTGCCTTGTATCTTTTTCCACGTTCCCTTTCAGATTTTTATCAAATGTAGGGAGACAAGAACATCGTCTCTGTTCCCCTTAACTTTGAGCCCTTTCTGAAGGAGACAATGTTGCTGACTTGCACAGTAAAATGATTTCTGAAAATCCAGATGAGGTTTTGACAACATAAATGTTCATGCTCTTTAAAAATTACTGTCTCTCTTCCATCTTCCTAGTAGTTTTTACTGCCGTTCCCAGACTAGCAGCTCTAATTTGACTGCCAGTGGAATACAGTAGGTGGCTGGAAAATCTCATCCATATTATAGTGTGTGTCTTTTAAAAATATTTTTCACATCAGGCAAAAAGAGCAGATGAAGAAGAAAAATGGAGGGAAAGATGTAGATGAGAAGCTCCTGTTCCATGGAACCAACAGTTCCTATTTGGAAGCCATCTGCAATCAAAATTTTGACTGGAGAATCTGTGGGGTCCATGGAACAAACTATGGAAAAGGTGAGGAGGACGTGACTGTGTATATGAGATCACAGACTTTCTTTAAAGTACCCAATGATGATGTTACAGTGGTAATTGGTCTTTATAAGTTGCAGTGATTTGTTTGTTCATGCCTGGGGGGAAGCGATGTGGGGGAAGCTCCAGTATTCTTTCAGGTTGAAAAGGAATTGGTTTGCGTGAGTGGAGAATTTGATATGAGGTTGAGAGAATTTAATTTGGGGGCTGAAAAAGAATTGTTATATTGGGAGGCAGGGGCATGTTTTGATTCCTAGGAAGTAGAGGGAAACTTGCCAGTCCATTACCTCCTTCACCTCAGCAGGAGGGGAGTTGAAGATGGTAATTCTCTGTTGGATGGAGACGAGGTCTTTCTCCCTTATGCCCCCATGATGCTGTCTTTTTTCCTTCCGCTCTTAACATTATTTTTCCCCTTGTGCTATACCTGTTGATCTAATGTCTTACCCTGCCTATGCTATTTTTCTTTACTCTCCCTTTCTATCTCACTCCTTCATAACTCAGCTTGCTCTTTCCCTCCTCTTTAAATTAATGGGAGTTTTATGGCAAAATCCTTTAGCTGTCTGGTGTGAAATCTCCACTAAGCATACTGGGGTGCCAATAAGCATAAAGTTCATTTATTGAAATTTGAGTCAAATACATCTTAATTATTGTGCTATGCTAACTCTTTTGTGCCTGATGTATACAGTACAGCAGACACATCCAGTATCCTTACAGTGTCCTTTTTTTGTCATTCCTAGGAAGTTACTTTGCCAGAGATGCTAAGTATGCCCACTCTTATAGTCAATCTGCTGCAAAAGGGAACACCATGTTTGTGGCTCGAGTTCTCATTGGAGACTTTGTTAAAGGAAACCCAACCTACGTTCGTCCCCCACAAAGAGCTTCTAATATGCTCACCTTTTACGACAGCTGTGTGGACAATGTGCTGGTTCCCTCCATTTTTGTCATCTTTGAGAAGCATCAGATTTACCCAGAGTATATAATAGACTATACTGAAGAGGAAAAAAAATGTTTTGTATCTTAAATAAGGGAGAGAGCAGTTTGTATCTCTCACTGTAGCATTCAGACCTAATTTTACATGGTTTTTAAGGGTTTCTTATCCTGGATTAGATTGTCTAATACTCATTTCATTTTTAATAGAGCACCTTTCCAAATACTACAAGGAGCAAATTCTTTGGATGAAGGAGGTTGGCAGGAGGAGCATCCTGCACACTAGGCAATTACTCTTTTTCATCTAACTGTTGACTTTCACTTGTTCATAATATGTAAACCTTAGGGTAGCCCCACACAGGAGGGGTCAGAATTGGGGATGTGGGAGTGGAATTTGTGATTCTTCTTTGTGCAGCAACAGCAAACTTTGGAAATACGGTCTAGAAAGCATTTCTCTTCAGAAATACGTTCAACCAAGAGAAAAATTGTCAATTCTAGTTTAATATAGTTGACAAGTTGATTTTGTAATGCTCCAAATGATGAGTCATTCAACTCTGAGGTGGCTCTTTCCCTTGCCTGCCCTATCATTTCCAAGGGACTTGTGAATTAGTTTACTGTGGATTTGACAGGGTGGTGTTCTTGAAGTACCATATGTTGATGTCAATATTTTAGATCAAAATCAGTAACTAGACAAATAAAAAGTCTGTTTTTTGTAAACTGGTGTAATGAATAAGGTCTCAAAAGGAGGAATTCCTCCTACTGCACAAGCAATGTCAACCTAGTGGTTAGAGCAGAATATGGTCAGCCATGGGTCTGTTTCCAACTCTATAGCAGACTCGCTGTGCAACTTGATCTGGAGGTAGACTATTACAATTGACAGTCTGGGAAAAGGCATGCCCCAGAATTAGTTGTTTCCGTTGCTAATGATTACATGCATAAATTTAAAGGCTTGGTTGAGATTCACTTGAAAACTTGGCCTTTAGTGTATTACGTTTTCCACATGTGGATAGTTGTCCAACAAATGCTGTAGGACAGAAGTAATGTCTTGGGGTGCTTTGATGTTTTTCTGTCATGCAGGATGGACAGTAACTTTCGTTGTGCCAGGGAATCACGTGACTTGCGTGGGGTGAACATCTTTAAAGATGTTCATCACTCTGGTGCAGTAGAACGTGCTCACTTGTCAAGAACTTGTTAGTTCCTCGTTAACTGTCATATTCATTTTCTATGGCCAGTTCTACGCTAGAAAAATTACCCACTGCTGACAATGATGAGCCAAGCATAGTCATAACAGTGTTCTAACTATTGTTTCTGAAATGGTTCGGGTCTTACCAGATAGTTCTGGTCTACATTTTCATATAAACCATGTTTAACATTACCCCATGTCAGCAATGGGTAACTTTACTAATAGTGACCAAGCATGTTTTATTAACAGATCTGCAGTCTGTTGAGCTCTCATTCAAGGGGTTTTTTGGGTAATGAAGATCGCATTTCCATTATCCCCCTACTAACTTTCTACGAGCGCACCTTTTGGGCTGAAATGCCTCTGCTCAAAGGTGAATCATTTTGGCAAGAGTGAGCAAACTCCCTTGGCTGGTGGGAGGGGAACACTGCTACAGCAAGAACTACTGAAGTTTTTATAATGTGGCATGTTTGAAAACTATTGCATTTTTCTAGGCTTCGGCAGGGGGAGGGGGAGAGAATCTGGTTTTGAATTTAGCCAAGTTGTAACAACATCCTGGGCATAGGAGTTAGACACATTCCAGGCTGGAGATGCTCATGTGAGATGCTGGGAACTGACAAACTCACTGAGGAAGAAGGGTGTGAGACTAGGAAATGTAAATACAGTAAATGTGTCAAGCCTTTATACAATCAAAGAATATTTTTCACCTTTTAAAAACAAAAATCAGAAATATAGAATCTGGTTATCCATGGTGGTGGAGGACTTGTTGGAGGCATTCCAAAATATGTTTGAGTGCTTTGACACCTCAGCTGAAGGGTGAAGAGGTGTAGGTTGATTCTGAAACACTTGTTTCTCCCACATGTTCACTAGGCTCTGGAGTTTTATATTTTTAGACTCCTATTTAATAGAGTATAAAAGTCAGTTCTATTACTCAGCTTTTGTCTCTAGTAATGAACTAATGTCACTAGACTTAAATGTGTAATGTAATGTAAGCTTATGCCATAATCAAGTAGACAGGCCAATTAATACTGCTATTCCAGGCTTTTTACTTTTGTGTTTCTGGACTTCGATTTGACCTTGGCAACTGTAGTGAGACCTCAGGTAATTCTGCATACACAGCTAAGTATGAAGGGCTGCATCAAACAGAACAGTGTGTGACTGAGCTTTGCAATCACAAAATGTCTCTTAATAAACTGAATATCAAATTATGATTGTCCAGTATCTTTTATGTTTAATTATGTGGCAGTGGGGACACTGTCTTCTATGAGCAATTGCTTTAGACAGTCATGGAAGAAGCAAAAGATTGAGAGGAAGCAACTGTGGTACCATTGTTCAGAAGGGGGAAAATGTTCTGGCAATGGCTGGTCAATAAGTAACTATTTTGCTATGGATCACTCACACTCACACACCCCTACCTACAATACTGATTTTTATTGTCGTCAATACAGTGCAGTCTAGGTGCATTTTGTAAGATGCAAAAGTGCCTAAGTGATTTTATTTAGGCGCCTGAGTCTCATTGACTATCAATATGTGCTGGATTCACAAAGGAACTTAGGTGTGGTGATGCTGAGCATCACTGTGCCTCACTTTAAGGCACCTTGAAAAATCACTGGGGTTCACAAAGCCTGAGTTTGGTGCTTCAGCTTCCTGCACAATGAATGGATAGGGAGATAGGTGCCTCAGAATTGGATTCACAAAAGCTAGCACACTAGGCATTTCCCTGCCTAAATTAGCTAGTGGGAGGTGCCAAAGTGATGGGTTTGTTCTAAGCCCCACCCCTTCAGAGTTTGGTGCTTAAGGGCAGGCCAACACTTAAAATATTGCATTCACACAGCTGCACCACTGTAGCACTTCAATGAAGATGCTGTAAACCGATGGGAGGGAGCTCTCCCGTCGGCATAGTTAATCCACGGGCTCCCTGAAAGGTGGATTTTTCATACGCCTGGGTGATGTAGTTATACGGATATAGATCTGTAGTGTAGACTAGACCTCAGTCTGAGCTGGAGGGAGGCGTCTCCCTCTGCTTGGGAGTCTCAGCTGCAAATCCTTTCTTGGTGTTAGGCCCCTATTCTGTTTTAGCAAGAAATCGGGGGGAGGGGAGACCCCTCTAACCTCTGGGCAGAGACTCACCTGGATTGCAGGAGACCTTCTGTTTCAAGTCTCACCTGAGGGGGGGAGAGGATTTGAATAGGAATCTCTGACCCCCCCCCCCGGGGAATGTTCTAACCACTGAACCATGGGATATTCTGCTGCGAGGGAGGACCTGTCTCAGTCTCTCTTGTTGCAGCTATTCCATTGTGGCTAAATGATGAAAGAATCATTGGGCCAGAGAGAGACAGTATGCATGGGAATGACATGGTAGCCTGGGGCTTAATGTGATTACTTGGGAGGTAGGAGAACCAGGATCCCTACTCCAGTGACTCCTAATTATTTAGCCACAGTGGAACAACTTCAACAAGAGCGATTTAGGGAACATCACATCAGAAATATCCTGTAGTGGCTAGGGCACTCACCTGAGACCCCTCTTCAAAGCCTTTCTCCCCCTTGGGAAGAGATGGGGAGGGAGGGAATTGAACCAGGGCTCTCCCACATCCTAGATAGTACTCTAACCACTAGCTAGGCTAAAGGTTGATTAAGGTCTTCCTCTCTCCTCTCCCCCCACCTTAGAGATTCAATAAAATTCTCTTTAAATGGGCTTGGCTGTGGGCTGGAATGAGGTTAAGACTAAACAAAGACCAATGTAGGATGCTGGGGGGGGGGGGGGGATAAAAAAGCAGGCAGCCAAGAATTAACACTGATGCATAATTTAAGCAGGGGTTTGCCACATATTTCAGGCGCTTTCTGCTGCTAAGTTCACATAGTATTGACTATAGATTAGCAGGGGATTTCAAAATCTAGAGAAATCATCCTGGGGAATTAAAAAAACAAAAAAATCATCCACAGCCAACTGGTGTGAGGAAGAGGAAAGAAATCACATCAACCTCCTGGTACCTCTGGATAACCTGAACACATCAACCGTAAACCAGTATCTTGCTGCATGGGGCCTTGGTCTTACAAAGAATGAGGAAGAAAAATCTGACCTCCCATCTACTGGCAATGTGTTAACCAAAAGGCTAAGATAAGTGGGCTTCTTTACAAGAAAAGAATACCATGAGCAACAGAGGCTCATACTATCCCATTCCCCCTTGAAAGTCTATAATAAATAGCAAGTGGGAAGGCTGACAAGGACAAATTCTTGAAGGGTTCATCTAGCCACAGAACTCAATAGCTGCTGATTGTGACATCAGCTTAAATGGGGATAAGATCCGGCAGCTGGAGTCTTGGAGGTGTGTTCTCTGCACTCCAGCCACAGGCAAAGAGGAGGAGTGAAAAGAATTCTTTGGCAGCATGGAGAGAGCCCTGCATTCCCCTTCTATGGAATTATACTGCCACCTAGCATGCATTAGGCACAGGAGAAACCCCAGCATCGCTTCTGCATGCAACAGAAATCCAAACGTTGGTTTGTTAGGGCTACTACTCGGACTTCTGCTTCCAAAATGAGTGGCTGTAGCTAAGCCAGAACACGAAGAAAGAAAGAGAAGAGAGATCATTACAGCTCAGTAATTCAATTTGGCTTATGGCATGCTATGAAACCCAGCTGGATTGGTTCTCGGGCTAATTGGCTTGCTTTCAGAGGCTGGGTTGTAGAACAAGCTTATGCCATAGGGCAAGGAATCTGGCATTAACTTTCTTCATTTAACTGAATATACATATAGCCTTTTAGTCCAACTATTCCCAGGCTCAATCCTACAACATTAGCTGCAACTAGAGCCCCTCCCTCCTCCGTTAAAGGAAACATGCAGTGATAGAAAACTGTAATCCCCCCCCCAAAAAGTTAGGGTGCCACCCACTCAAGTCCTTCAGCATGAAGTCCCATTTTTTAGGTGCCCCTGCAAGCTATAACAATACTGCTTGGCTGCCACCTTACCCCCTAGGTGTCTCAACTCACCCTTAGGTTTTGCAGTTAAATTGCTTGAGCACCAATGTTTCTGCCTCTGGGTGTGCATGCTGCTGCCTTGCATTAGGCATCTAGACACCTAGCCCCCCAGAGCATTTCACAAACTGGGGAAGAGAGGTGTTCTTCCACCTAAGTCGAGTGGGGGGTGGGGGTGGAGCTGATCCCTTAGGCATGCTCAGGAGGCGGCTGGAACTGGGACAGGGTCACCCGCATCTTGGATACGTACCCTGTCCACTACTCAGGTAAGGTTATAAGCAGTCCCACTCCCCACAGCTGTTTTATTTCAGCCCTATGCACGCGACTTAGGTGGAGGAGCACCTAATGTCTCCCAGATCAGGGCTTGCTAGCAGCCCTAAGTGCCTCACAGCAGCCCAGACTAGGGAGCTCTACAATGCAAAGGCCCCCCAGAAGCAAGTTTCAGAACCTGGATCAAGTGACTAGCGAGGTACATGCTGCGGGGGCTAAAACTGATAGGATGGTGGTTGCTGTTTGGGGTGGGGCCTGGACCCCAGGAGCGCTGCTGTGTTCGCCTCATAGTGTGAGCCCCGCAATCCCAAGTCAGTTGACTCAGTCAGCTTTTCCTTTTGCAGTGTAGATGTAGCCCTGGCCACCTAAGAGAGCCAGGGCCTGGGACACAACCCTATCCTCAGCATTTCCCATTGGTTCACATAGGCAAGGTGCCACCTATCATGCTGGCTTTGTGGGTCACATTCTCAGGCACCTCGCTCTTCTCTCCCTTCATTGTACAGGGAACCTAGACACCCAACGCAGGCTGGGTGGATCCCACTGTTGTGCCTGTGACTTTTCTAGGCTCTGTGATGCTCCACATCCTAACGCCCTTCCTGGCCCCCACCCTTGTTCCCTAGCACTTGACATCCAACACCCGCCAAACAGTGAGGCTATGTATGCGGTTTCATGGAAACAAGGTGGCAGGGAATGGGTCAAGACAGAACCTCTGCAGTAAAGCTGAGTGGCAGTCCTATTAAGGATAATACGGTTCGCTTTATTCCATGTTGGCCAAAAGTGACTTTCTGTGAATGTGACCTATGGCAGCGCCCACACAGCAGGTACCGCCCGTCCAGCGAGAACTCGGAGAAAAGCAAGGATTCAAAATTGCAAGGTACTGTAAGTGGCAGTTTATAGGGCATACTTCAGAAGTGACTGACTGCCATTGCCTTCAGTGGGGACTACATCTCCTCAGCACCCCCGACATTGCAGGCACTTTTATTTAGGTGCCTCATTTTAGGTATCCGTTTGTTGGCCTTTATCGTTTAGGCTGAGCTATTTTACAAAGTATTAATGAGTGATTACCTCCTTTGGTCACCAGGTGTCACTTTCCCTCTTCAGCACTACCCATGCTTAGCAATAGCATGGTGGATACACTGGCACCTCTGTTTTTACAGCTGTATATCTTACAGAAGAAAGATTAAAAATTACTGAAATCTTTCTGTCCTAGATTAGACTCCTAGACTTTAAGCTCAGAAGGGACCATTACGATTGTCTAGTCTGACCTCCTGCACAATGCAGGCCACAGAATCTCACCCACCCGCTCCTGTAACAAACCCCTATGTCTGAGCTACAGAAGTTCTCAAATGATGGTTTAAAGACTTCAAGGTGCAGAGAATCCTCCAGCAAGTGACCCGTGCCCCAGGCTACAAAGGAAGGCGAAAACCCCCCAGGGCCTCTTCCAATCTGCCCTGAAAGAAAATTCCTTCCCGACCCCAAATATGGCAATCAGCTAAACCCTGAGCATGTGGGCAAGTCCAGCCAGACACCCAGGAAAGAATTCTCTGTAGTAACTCAGATCCCACCCCATCATAGGCCATTGGGGAAATTTACTGCTAATTGTCAAAGATCTATTAATTGCCAAAATTAGGGTATCCCATCATACCATCCCCTCTATAACCCTATCAAGTTTGGTCTTGATGCCAGATATGTCTTTTGACCCCACTGCTCCCCTTGGAAGGCTGTTCCAGAACTTCTCTCCTCTGATGGTGACTAGAAGAGCAAGCTTCTTAATAGTTTGTTTTACCTGCTCAGAGAAGGGTAAGCATTTATTCATAGAAAGCTAAAGTACATAAATACAGGAAATTATCATAATTTTAATTTTTTTGGAGAATATATGGGCCAGATTCTGCCCTAGAGTGCATGAATGGCTTCTGTCATTGTCTCTGACATTGATGCACTCTGATATTTGGCAAGTCACTTTAC